TCAGGCAAGCTGGTCAAAGCGTTGCAGATTCCAAAGAATCTCTTCCCACTGTTACCCAAAACTGTCTTCCATCAGGCCCAAGGTGACAGCAGTGCCTTCTAAATCTAAGACTTCACCTTTCTTCACCGTCTGTCCCTTCGCTTAGGTAGGGCTCCTGGCCCTGACTGCATTTTTCTCCATGCTTAGGAGAAACCGAGGCCCCAAAACAAAAGCAAAGCATGAGGTACCTTGGGACTGAGCTTACAGGTGACGATCTGTTTCTTTTAGCATCAGAGGTGATTTTCATTTGTATGAAATACAGTGAATATCATTTTTTGAAATATTCAAATTCTCTACACAAACAGTTCCCAAATTCTTTATTACCTGGGAAACTCGGGAATGCTAACTAACTGAGACTGCATTTCTTTCAGGAAGTGAATCATAACCACTTACCAATATTTGAGTGTTTACTGCATAACATGCAACATTTATTGAACCCTCAGTATGTGTGTTTTTTAATCTGTAGCAACTCAACTTATTGAAACTTCAATATCCCCTGGGATTGGCCAACAATATCCCTATTTTTCAGATGGAACAACTGAGGCTCAGGTCACTGGTTTATAAATGAAGCAAACAGGACTATAAATCAAAAGTTAATTTCAAAGCCCAAACCCCTTTAGTCTATTGTCTGGGACAAATAACATGACCCAACAAATAAAAATCTTTACAATATTTAGAGCTCCTCCCCCCCCACCCCCCCGCCCCAACTTATTGTGAATGAGCAACTACGGCTTGCTGAGCTAAAAGGGCCCTGGATTCCATTTAGTCCTCCTAGGCCCTCTACTGGGTAGGTGTGTGCTTGTACCCATTACACAGATGGAGACAAAAATCGAGAAAGGGAGGGGGTTTTGCCTATGGTTTTAAAGAGCAGGATGCAGCAGCCCCATGTGCAGGCTTCCTCTGCCATTTTCCAGGCATTTTCCCTCCCAAACTCTGTCCTGAGATAGTGGCAGATGCAAAAGCGTTCTGAAAAGAACTAACCACCAAATTTTGAAAGTGACTGGATATCCCAGACCCTCAGTTCCATCAGCTGCAAAAGAGGCCCAGTGAGAACATCAGCCCCCCACAAGAAGAGAGGCAAGTCCATCCATCACTTTACAAAGGGGGTGGTCTGCAAGGAAAAGGAGGTATTCTGAACTCCTCCAGCCCTGGTCCACCAAGAAACTGAAAATCAAGTGCATGGTTTTTTAAAAACTTGCTCAACACAAGGGCATGTCTGAACTGAGGCCCTGTACCTATCAAGGGCTCTGGGGAGGGGACACTTGCTATAGGGTAGGACCCAGAGTTTCAGATTTAGCCAGGACCATCTCAGATGAAATTGGAAAAGGGGTCTGAGCCTGGAGGCCCGGCAACTGACATGAGAGCTGGCCTGAGACAAAGGACTCAATCTCAAGGTAAGTTTTCCCAGAACTTGCCCAAACCCAACATCAGACGCAGGTCTCTGGGGTTGCAGTAATAAGGGGCGCCAGGCCCTTCTGGGTCATAGGCCCCCCACGTGGCTGGAGGAAGGGAAGAAAGGGAAGCAGCCTCCCCCAACCTCTTCTCCCTAGCTCCTCCCCTCAGACCCCTGCAGCTCCCAGATGCTTCCCCCCCACCTTCAAACATTTGCAAGGGGTGGAGATTATGCCTATGGCTTTAAGGAGCAGGATGCTGCTAGCCCCAACCTGGCCCTTTTGTCTCGGTCCTCTCCACCCCAAAGGGGCAAGGTAAAGGACCTTGCTTAGCTAGAAATTAAGAATTCAAGGCCCCAAGCTGGGGGGAGGAGGATGGGCAGTTTAAAATGTCCCCAACCCATAAAGAAAACCATGGCTCCTTTCAAAAAGGAACAAAGGCACTCCTTCCTGCCAACTCCCAAATCAAGGATGATGATTTGGAAAAGCTTTCATAGTTAACGGGAATAATACCTTGGTGGAGGAAGGCAGGAAAGGAGGGGCCAGTAGGGGTGCCTCCCTTCATCCCCAAGTCTTACTAATGGCTACCCTTAAAAGAGGGGCTACTGGTTAATTAATACAGATGTCAATATTCACCACCTGCTTTGTTAAGCACTATCTCATTGAGTCTCCACCCGAGCCTAATATGGTATGTGATAGGGACTATTCCACCATCAGATATCTCAGGAGCTTTGGGGGTTAGAGGTTAAATCACTCAAACTGGCTTCATTTACACAATCTGGGGTATTTAGCACGTTCCCATTTCACAGAAGGAATAACAAGGACATAGGAAACAATGGACTTACTGGGGCAGATTTAAACACTGGCCAAAGATTCATTCATGCATCCCCCCCAAACAGGGCAGCCTGCTTAGCCCAGGTGCTAGATAATGATGCCAACGGTGGCCAACTTTTATTGAGGGATTACTGTATGCAATTCCTATCAAATAGGTACCACCATCTCAACTCTAGAAAAGAATCAAGTCTGCACCTGGGGAGTCCAACGGCCTCCACTCAAGAAGCAAAGCAGGCCTCCTAGAGGGCAGAGGCAGGGCAGCCTCCTGGGCACTTTAAGTGAGAGCCCCTGCCGGGACTTGCTTCCCAAAAACAACTGCCACCAGTTGGCCAAAAAAAACCACATCATCCAGAAATCAGGAGGCAGTTCAAGGTTTACACTGTCTTTAATTCTGCTTAATTCATGAACCTTTGGGCTTGGGGGAATGGGGAAGCAGGTGGGGGGAGGTGGAAGCACCAAGGCCCCAGCCTACCTCTCAGCCGGGGGTGTGTGTGTGTGTGTGTGTGTGAAGGAAGGAGGCAGGCTGGAAGCACAGGGTGTGTGTGTGTGTGTGTGTGTGTGTGTGTGTGTGTGAAGGAAGGAGGCAGGCTGGAAGCACAGGCCCTGGGGCTGGGCCCAGAACCTCCTGCAGCCTTCTCCCTGCCACAGGTGAGTAACCTCCAGCAGGAAAAGCTGGGCCCCAGAGCTGCCTCCTTGTTGCTAACTTGCTAAGTCCGCCCTCCGTCTTCCACTTTCTCACCTGTGAAGTGGGACTCACCATCCACCCTCCCTCGCCAAACAGTCACACTGCTAAAGAACCCCTGTCTTCTAGGAGGTGGTGCCAGATGGCCCGTCTTATAGCCTCAGCTTATAGGTTAGGGAAGTGGGACCAGCCTCATTCCAGAAGAGGGGTAAAAAAAAAAAAAATGGAAAGTGAGCCCCCAGGGCAGGCAGTGCCAGGCAGGGAGGCCCGCCCCGGGCCGGCCAGGTGTGCACTGGGAGAG